TATGTTCTGGTAACGGTTAGGTTTAGAGTTAGGTATGTTCTGGTAATGGTTAGGTTTAGAGTTAGGTATGTTCTGGTAATAGTTAGGTTTAGAGTTAGGTATGTTCTGGTAATGGTTAGGTTTAGAGTTAGGTATGTTCTGGTAACGGTTAGGTTTAGAGTTAGGTATGTTCTGGTAATGGTTAGGTTTAGAGTTAGGTATGTTCTGGTAATAGTTAGGTTTAGAGTTAGGTATGTTCTGGTAATGGTTAGGTTTACCATTAGGGTATGGGTTAAGCTATATAAATTAATTAAAAATGAATGGAAGTCAATGCAAAGTCCCTGTAAAGATAGCAAGACACACTTGGGTGCTGGGTGGGGTGTGGGGGGGTGGGGGGGGGGGGGGGGGGGTGAGTGAGTGAGCGTGTTTCTTGTTTTGTTTACCCTTTTATGATCTTTTCTGGTGTACAGTATCCACTTTCTTGTCAGCACCTTATGGAGACCAAAGTCCTTAATATGATGAAACATCATTTTTGTGTTAAGCATTACATTTGTGCGTGAATGGACTTTAGGTTAGAGTCATGCATGTTATAATTAGGGGTTGAATAGACTAGTCAACAAGTCGATTCTAGGACATCTCGCAAGTTTTAAAATTTCACGTCTACTAGTCACAGTCTGTGGGTGTGTCACATAATCAGCTGGGCTGCTGGCTGCAAAACGGATTCTTCCAAGCAGATGGAAGGCGAGGAGCAGGTTAGTTTTCCCAAACAGGTAGAAATTCATCAACAGTTTGGAAAAATTTCACTAACGATTGTGTTGTTTTTAGTTTCATTTTATTTAATTCACTAAATAAAATGAAAACAGGAGTGCGCTCCACCAGCGAATCCACCACTGCACACTCCACCGTGTGTGTATTAGTTGCTGTACACACTGCCGGTGTGCACCACCGCCAGTGAATATTTTTTTTTATTTTTTTTTATTTAATCCACCAAATAAAATAAAAACAGGGGTGCACACCACCGGAGGATCCACCGTGCATCACCCCCGGTGTGCATCATGCACCGCCACCGGTGGAGAATCCACAACCGTCGCAGTGGTTTATTTTATTTAGTGGATTAAATTAAAAAAAACTAACTTTTGCAGCTTTATATATATATATATATATATATACATATATATATATATATATATATATATATTTAGCATCTTGAGTTCCTATGATGTCATCAACTAGTCGACGTCCACTCGACTATTGTCATGTTAATGTCAACTTTTAAAAATATGTAATCGTTCAACTCCTAGTAATAATGCATTATTGTAAAGCAATTCAGGGGGCAGCTGTGGTGTAGAGGTAGGGCAGCTTGGGACCATGACACAGGTTCAACTCCCTGCCATGCCCACATGTCGTGGTGTCCTTGAACAAGACACCTAATCCCTAACTGCTCCCTGGGCGCTTTACATAGCTGCCCACTGCTCCACCTGGGTGCATCTCATGTGTGATGGGTTAAATGCAGAAAACAAATTACGTCAGAAACATACAATGATGACAACACATAGCACTTTCTTTCTTTCTTCTTTCTTAATAACTACTTTAGGGTAAAGGTCTGAGTTAGGCTATATAAATTAAGGCAAGTGAACACAGTGTTTTATAAGGATATAAACATGAATTTGTGTGTGTGTGTATTCATTTTTATTTGTGCCTTGACCCTAATTGATTTGAAACAGTATTAATGCTTTATTGCTCTTAGTCCTGCCTTGGTATCTTTTTTAGTTTGTTTGTTTGTTTGTTGTTGTTTTGCTTTGTTGTTTTGTTTTTATTCCCCAGAAGACCAGATTTAACTTTTTTGGATTTTTCTACCTGGATTCAAATATCTTTGTTATGCTTTCTTCTGTGTTTCTGTCATCAACAAAAACAAAGAAATACCTTTACTTCAAAAGTTACGGTGAACAAAAAGGAGTTTATTTACGGAAATAGGAAAAAAATATATATGTATATTTTTTTTTACTCACATTTTAAATATTAAAACATTATGACTTTATATCCTGTGTGGTGTCCTTGGTGATTTCAATCAATCTGATTGGCTCTATCTGCGTCATGGCTTCAGGTAAATCAAGTTGCAGGCTGTGCCTTTGGTTGTACATGAGGACAGTTTAGGGACATCGCCTGTAGAAGTGAACACTCACATTGAGCTTGTTTCTGATTTGCGACCACACACTAATTTTCCAGGCTCTTTAAATACACAGAGTGGTGGCTAATATTATAAGATACCTTCTTGTAAACTGTCATGTAAAGTTTGCCAATGGGGCATAGCTGTTTTGGCAACATTATGCCGCACAGAACTGTGTTAAACAGGTTCTTGATGTCCTTACTTGTTTGACACGACAAACTTATACGTTTGAACATCTAGGTCAAGCAGCTTCACAAACATTTTACAATGTTAAGACTGTTTTTGTCATTAAATAGACCAGTGGAGTCATAGAATCCAAACTTGAGGTAAATGGAAATTTCAGCAGAAGGTTTGACTGAATGCAGCTTTGATAATCATGCATTTTTTATAAAACCATAAAAAAATAAAACAAAATCTCTAAAAACAAAGCCTTGGATCAGTCTAGAATGAAGAATTCAAAATAATTTTAAAATAATTGTAACAATTAATTTGACTGAAATGGAACAAATGGTCAAAGAAAATAAAGTTATTGACACTCAAACGGGACGTTTTGAGGGACAAAGGCAAATGGCAAGCATTATCTTCCCCTCAGTTCTTACCATAGTCATCAGTTTCTGAACCTGCTGCAGACAAGGAAGCAAATGAAACTGAAAAAAGCAGCTGTGAAGCAAAAGCTTTGTGGCACACATTGATGCTAAAAAAGCACAGATAAAACATAAGCATGCACCACAAGTTGGATGTAAAATCGTAAATTTATGTACACATTCAGTAATACATCATGCATAAACATAAAAATACGTAGGCTACAACATAAAAGTATCTGAAGCACATACACAAATAAAAAGATTTACATAAAAATTACACCCCCCCCCCCCAAATGTTGTACTTTGAAACAAAACAAAGATAAATCAACCACACAACACGTACTGCAAACATATTGCTAAAGAAAAACAACAAAAATGCTATACTGAGTCTAAAACAAATGTGTTATGGCAGCTGAACTGCATCGGCCATGTTAAATACATTTTTAATGTGAATAAAATGTTCTTTTCACTTATTTGAGTACAACCACTATTAACTGATCACACAGAAGTCATGCAAGTCTTCACACAGTGTGGCACATGTATGCATTCTTATGTGCATACATAAAATAAATTATGTATTTGTGAACGTGAAGTCAAAGCATCCATGTCAGATAATCTCCAGGATTTTGCCTCACCTCCATCTGCGTGTGTTGCATCTAAAGAAAACGAATGGAGAATACCACACACACCCAATATGATGAGGAACTATTCACAATATTTAGTTCAAACTGAAGAAAATGAATGTCAGCAGGCGAGTGCAGCAGCTTCGAATGTTATCAGCCCATTAAATGGCCGTTATCAGTTGTTATCCACATAGGTTGCCTTCAGACTGTCCCTCCTCTACCTCCTAGTAGGTTTAAAGGTACATTCTTATCACTGATAATATGCATCTTTGTGTGCGTGTAAAAGCAGAAGCTTTTTGTTTTTAGCTTTATTGAAAAGCTTTATTCATAATTTACCTACTACTTTTAAGCTGGACATGAAGGATTTACTTCAAATTAATTCCAGATTTAAATTCGGTATTCAAGAAGAACTCAGTTAAGAGAAGATATGAGAGTTTGTTTTATCTGATCAATTCATGTACAGTACATGTACACTGCATGGCCCAAAAAAAAAAGTTGCCACAAAAAAAAAAAAAAAAGGTCATGCACTAATATTTCGTTGGATCAACTTTAGCTTTGATTACAGCATGCATTCACTGTGGCATTGTTTCAATAAGCTTCTTCAATTTCACATGATCTACAGTATTTCCATCAAGTGTTGCATTAATTTTTCCCCAAGATCTTGCATTGATGACGAGGCACTAGGCATGATGGGTGCATCACTTCACCTGCCTCTCTTCTTACCCTGATGCACCATCACTCTGGAACATGGTAAATCTGGACTCATCAGACCACATGACCTTCTCCAGACTCCAATCTTTATGCTCCCTGGCAAACTGAAGCCTTTTTTTTTCCAGTTAATGTCACTGATTAGTGGTTTTCTTAAGGCTACACAACTGTTCAGTCCTAATCCCTCAAGTTCCCTTCACATTGTGCGTGTGGAAATGCTCTTACTTTCACTATTAAACATAGCCCTGAGTGCTACTGTTGTTTTTCTTGAATTTAATTTCACCAAACGTTTAAGTGATCGCTGATCAAGATCATTCAGGATTTTTTTTCTGGCCACATTTCTTCCTCAAAGATGATGGGTCCCCACTATCCTTCCAGTTTTTAATATTGCTTTGGACAGATCTTAAGCCAATTTTAGTAGTTTCTTCAATATCCTTAGATGTTTTCTCTGCATGATGCATTCCATTGATTTGACCCTTCTCAAACAGACTGACATCTTTTCCGCAACCACGCGATGAGTCTTTCAACATGGTTATTTAAGAAATGAGAAGCAACTCATTGCACCAGTTGGGGTTAAATAATGTTGCCATTTGTTGCCAGCTGAAAGATAATCCACCTTGTAGTAATTATCCAATAGGAGGCTCGTACCTATTTGCTTAGTTAAATCCAGGTGGCAACTTTTTTTTGATCAGGCAGTGTACATAAAGTACTATAATTATGTCCAGGTATAACCCTAACTGTAACCCCAACCTTATAAGTATGTGATAACAACCTACCGAAGTAGAGGAGGGACAGTCTGAAGGAAACCTATGGGGGATGATAACAACTGATAATGTCCATTTAAGTGGGTGGCAAGTGTGTACAATTTTAATTTATTCTACAAGGTGCTTACAAAATTATTAAAGTCAAAATACAGAAAATATCATCACGGTTGACAAAAAAAACCCCGGCATTTAATTTTGAAAAATTGCAAAGAAGTAGCAGAGATTGTGAAAACTACACAAAACCTAAAACCAACAAACATTTCTGGATAAGTTCTGGCACTCTGCATGCCTGTAGTAAAATGTAATCGAAAGGTCACCGTGAAAAACTGAACTCACACAGGGCAGAAAATGCATCCATTTGCACTCGGAACACAAATGGATCACATATTTTTGTCTCAGACATATAAATCCTTTCTTGTAGTCCACAAAAGATAAAATAAAAAAGGCATATTTTATAACAAAACTGAGAAAATAGATATACATGTTGCTGTCATGCACAGTGGCAAACATGTATATAAAACTTATCATCATATTATTAACATCTGCTATTACAATGGCTGGTTGTTACAAAAATAGAATATTATTTATAGAGAAGGGTTGAACTAACAAGGTGATGAAGAGAAAATAAAAAAAATGTGTTTATTTTTCACATTATCTCTTGACTCACAGGGTTTGGTCTTTAGCAAAGCCATTTGATTATTAAGCTAATTACACAAACTAACAACTCCAAATGCAAATTTTAACACACAGTTCACCACAAACCCACTCATGTCACAAATTAAATGTGTGTAAAGGCAATAAATCCCTCAAAATTAATAGCAATTAAAAAAAAAAAACCTCATTGTCCCTCTTCAGCTGCTTCCAGCGGAGCTAAAATCATCATAATAAATAAATAGTTACAGCACAATAGGAGAAATTATTAAAGAGTCTAACTGCAGATCAAACTGAATCCATTGACATAAAATCTGTAACAGTGCCAACAAGGACGCAATGAAATGTTTGTGGAAACCAGCAGATTTTTTTGAGTGCAGCTCTGTTGGTGCGGCCCTGTGATGTGAAGATGGAAGCAAACAGTTGCACTAATGATGTAATGTGCAGCAGAGCAGGCGCAATGTAACGCCTGAAGGTGAAAATATACACTGTATAGAAGTGGCATGACCCTATATATAATTTAATCAAAGATGCTTCTCCTGACAGAAAGTTTATGAAAAATAAAACCTTTGCACGTGCTGATTACACACCATAAGAAGTGTGTTTTTGCTTTCAACAAGCTGTTGTGTTAGTCACATATTTGCAGCTTTCAGTTCACATGCTGTGAGATGAACAGCAAACAAGTGTGGTGACTTACCATCTCCTGGTTTAGCTGGAAAACAAAAACAAAGAAAGATAATCTTTAATAATGTGCATCAAATATGCTTTTTTCTATATTTAAACATTTTAAGAAGGGCTACGCCAATCAACCAGGTAGTGATCAGAGCCAGTCAATGTCAGCTTGACTGCTGACTTCTTCTTCTTTTGACTATTTCCTCTTCAGGTGTCCCCACAGCGAGTCATCCTCCTCCATCTCACTCTGTCCTCTGCATCCTCTGTCCTCACTCCAACTACCTCCATGTCCTCTCTAACTGCATCCATATATCTCCTCTTTGTCTTTTTCCTGACAGCTGCATTTCTAACATTCTTCTACCAATATATCCACTGTCCCTCCTCTGGACATGTCCAAACCATCTCAGTCTGGCCTCTCTAACTTTATCTCCCAGTTGTTCAACCTGTGCTGTAGCTCTGATGATCTCATTCCTGATCTTATCCACTTTGTCACTCCTAAAGAGAACCTCAACATATTCATTTCTGCCACTTCCAGTTCTTTCTCCTGGCTTTTTGTCCATGTCTATGTCTCAAGTCCATACAACAAAGCTAGTCTCACCACTGTCTTGCAAACTTTTCATTTGACCTTTGCTGACACCCTTTTGTTGCAAATTACTCCTGAAACTTTTCTCCATCCACTCCATCCTGCCAGGACTCTCTTTTTCACCTCTTTACCACGCTCTCCATTTTCCTGGACAGTGGACCCCAAGTACTTGAAGTCCTGCACCGTTGTGACCTCTGCTCCTAGTAGCCTCACTGTTCCACCGGCCTACCTCTCATTTACACACATGTACTCTGTCTGACTACGGCTGACTTTCATTCTTCTTTATTCAAGTGCATACCTCCACCTCTCCAAGTTCTCTTCCACCTGCTCCCTGTTTTCACCACAGATCACAATATCATCTGCAAACATCATAGTTCATGGGGATTCCTGCTTGACCTTTTCTGTCAGCTTGACTGCTGACTGACCTTTCTAACACCCCAACCCCCCACCCCCCTTCATAAATCTACAATGGTCAAACACAAAGACATCATAACTTGTTTTCAGTGTGGAATTTTTATGAGTGAAAATGACTCCATAAGAGTTATTTGTAAGATCAGTAAGACATTTAAAAATTAAATGCACACAAGTTTAAAAAGCTACTAAGGAAACAATGATTTTCTACCCATGTGTCTGCAGCTCAGTTTATATTTGTCCTATAATTTACAAGTTATTTGGCAAAGCAAAGCAGTCAGCTCCTCAGATAAATAATGTTATTAACTTACTTTTTATGCATGTGAATGTTTCTGTTCAGTGCCCTGAGTTGACTTCTGTTGTGACTTTGCGCTATATAAATAAACTGAATTGATTTGGCAAATATAAATAATTATTTAATAGTTTATTGTCAAATACAGTGGTTTTTGCCCATTGCCATGACAGGTGGGTCATCATGTAACTGCTTGTGTTTGTGTTCATCTCTCTGTCTGTTAGCAAAATATCTTAAACCAGTGAAAAGATCTTTATTAACTAGTTGAAAACAATCATTTCCTGTGCATCTATTGTACAACTACCATAATTGACCTCTTGAGATGACCTGATTCAGAAATAACAGTCCTTTTTTATAGATACTGAGCTATCATTTGGTGTAGTAGTAGCTGAGAGTCAAACCACAACACGTACTAACAGATCACACAACACACACGTGTTTACAACGTTGACATGCAAGAAGGCAGATGACATGCGTTCATTTTAGGAATGCTGCTTTAATTACGTCGGGACTGAAGTGTGCCTTCCTGTGATGTGGTGCAATGTTCAAAAAAGGATTTGAGCTGTTATTATTTGGCTTGTAAAGAAGATCTACTCTAATTATGTTGCTGTACATTTTAACTTTCATAAACACGACTTGGTAACCTGGTGGGTATTATCTTTGAGACCGTCAGTGACAGATAGAGAAATTTTACTGTAATTATTTGAGTATGAGCACAGTTTCCATTTAAATAGGAATAAAAATAATAATAATTTTGTATTTTGGTGATGTTGTTTTCAGATGTTTGGATAAAACTAAATTGGTTCAACTCAGAATTGGCAAAAATTGGAATTGGTCAAGGATTAGTGCTTACATGGTATAATGTGGATGAACATTTGCTGTCACTTTTAATTCAGCCTCACTGATAACGTTGAATTCATCTGAAATTCTTGGTATTTTAAGAAAAATCCAAGTACAGTACTAAAGCCTAAATCTAATAAGAGTGCACCCACCTTTTTACACTTTTTAAAACTGTGCTACATTTGGCACAAACAGTTGAAACAGATATTCCCATCTCGTGACACGATTCAAAGACTAATTTGGAGCTGGGGGGTGGGGGGTGGGGGGATGCCTTTTTAAATGTGAAGCGAGCTGTGGGCGTCATTGTTGAGGCCTAAATCTGGTAAAAGAAAATTCTCAACTAAAATAGAGGCATATAATATACCCATCTCCCCAAGTGCTGCTGTGAGGGTCACTTCAATAGTTGGTAAAGGCCAGGGACGGTGTCTTATGACCCCCCCTGAAGTCATGCCATATTCTTGTTTCCTTGAATAGTCAGCCAAATTGACTCTGAGAGCTTTACTGTTCACTTAAGGCTTTTTACATATACATTTCTGCAGTGACAGCAAAAAAGGCTCCAACATTTCTGCTTGCAGATGATCTAAAACAGACTTCCTGACAACACCTGAAATGTTTCTGGCGTGTTCTCTTCTTTTCACAAACGAGAAAATGATCAAACACACTTTCAGACCGAGATGTTGCTCAGCTGTAAATATTTTATACTCCCTGACAGAGAATTTCACACCTGCGTTGACTCCACATCAGCATCTGCTAAGTCAGTCCACTTGGGGGTGGAGAGAGAAGATCTTCAACAAGTTTGGGATAAGGCAGGATAACGAACCTCTGAACAGCTGTTCCTCGCGGTTTCAGCGTTTCCCTCAGAGACTTTCTGTATGCAGAGCTCTGCTAGACACGTAATTAGCCTGATTTTCAAAGCTGTGACTGCTGAGCATGAAAAATATAAAATAAAGGAGGGAAACACTACGTGTCAGGAGTGAATTTACCTTTTTTTTTAACTTGTATGTCTATCATTAGTTATACATTCTATATAATACTATATTATCTGCTGCACAGTTTAGTCGCAGTTTATCTATTTTTGTTGCCTCTGAAACAGCTTCACGTCCCTGTTTGTTTACATGGTCATGTGCAGCTCTGACAGTTTGATTTACAGTGTGTTTAACGACTCAGACATAAAGATACTCTGAGGGTGTACAGGGAAAATAAAAGTTTAAATACCGACTGAGTCACGATGAAGATATTCTAGTGCCAGACAACAAGCTACTTATTTTTATTTTCTTCTTCTTGATGCCAAACTCACTTTTTTTTTCAGAGGTTGTTGTGGATTCTAAAACACATTTATATACAAGATGACTATCATCTCGGTACATATTTACTGTACTAACACAGAAAAAGTACACATAATTCACATTATGTGGATTTACACCCCCACTGACTTTGCATTGGCTCTCTGAGGGGTTTAATTATTTATAAGTTTATTTCTGCCCACGCTGTGGATCATGAATCTTAATCCGACAGGTCCCAAGTTTTTTTTTTCTTCATCTTTAAGGCTTAGAGGCCAGGACATGGCAACAGGGATGTGGAGAGGATTTGTCTAAATATAGGGTGATTTTCAGCGTAACGTGTCACTTCCTGTGCCTGTCTTGGAGTGATCATGGGATTTACTGCCTCAGTTTGAATTCTAATGAAAAGTAAACATTGTTTTTAGACACCCCTTTTTGTTGGAATTAAAGCTCACATCAATCCTAAGATTTTACATTGATTTACTCATTATCAAATAGAAACAGGGACATTTAATAAATGTCTCTATATTTTTATATATTATTATTATTAAAAGAAGGAATCGGACAAGTGAAAGCTGGTTTCTACCCAGTTTGTTTTTTTTCTGCCACAACTTTTGTGCCATTCTGTTTTTAAGAGGTATTTAAAGACCAGAGAGTATCATGTCAACATATCCATTGAAGGTTTTCATACCATGAAGGAGCCATACTGCTCTGATGGACTGGAAAAACTTCACAGAGCAGTTATGGTTCTATTTGGCCTCAGAGTGTTTCATCTGGACACGGCGAGGAGAGGAATTACGACGATGAATCACGCCATCGCCTCCAACCATTGACCAGAAAACTGTCATGTGCTTGATTGACTGCTCTGGTGGTGGTGCCAAATTCAGGATGGGAGTGTCAGGTCTGCTGAGCAGGAGGAAACTTTCTGGTTAAATGTGCCAGATTACGTAATGATTTATCTCCATTGGGACGGCAAAAAAAGGGGGAGAGCTAAACTTGTTACACTGGAGCGGGGGCAACTTGATAATCTTACAGAGAGGGGAAAAAGGGCAAAAGGTCACTGGCTACTGCAGAGTATTTTTAGCTGTTAGCTTAAGGCATGAAACGGCTGCTATTAAGTGTAGCACAGATAAAGTTTCGACTCAACTTGCATGTAGAAATAAAACATTAGTTTTTATTTTTAAAGAAGATCTTACATTTCAGGGTTAAAATATTAACACAATGTATTTAAATATAACAAAAAATAGAATTGTCAGTATAATTTAAGCTCCAAAAGCTGATGTTCATGTAGCATGTTGTAATTTAATTACTCTGAAAGGTAACAAGACTCCTGCATGGTCTCCTGGTGTTAAACAATAACGTTCCTCTCTATTGTGGATTCTGTAATCAAAGTGTAATGCAGAATGTTGAGTTTTGAATCCAGTTTATTATGATCTCCTGTAAGACTCTGCAAATCCTTCTCTATCTGCTTGAACACGTCAAAACAGAGAAAAAAATAGTAGAAACTGTGTTCGTTTTCTGAAACTTTAATAATGATTTTTTTTAGGTCAGCCTCTGTTTAAAACCTGAATGGTGGAACTTCATGCTTAAACCATTCCTGCAATAATCCATTACCTTATCTCTGTTCATTCAAATCACATGCTAGAGAGTAAAAGACAAAAATATATCTCCACGCTTTGTTTTAAAGTTAAAGCTTCTTGCTTTTATCTAAACTGAAACGTCTCTATTTATCCAAAAGTACCCTGCCCAGTTCTCTTTTATTCACCTGGCAGCAGGTACACAAGACTTTGTTCTGGATGAGATGAGCTAGTTATGTTTGCTGATCGTAAATTCTGACAAGTCCAACCCACACAACCCTGGATATATTAAATGATATTATTAGGACAATCGTTAGTTAACAGTTGATCATTGATTAACTTTGGCGACGAGTGCATTTTTACTCGCAGTGTGCATTTAGACACAAACTGCTCATCTACTTTAAAGCTTTGCAGTGGAGTTTGGTTTAAATGGACGGATCCCCGAGTGGAGCTGACACCAACTTGAGCATCCTACTTTGGTTGGATAGTGTTTTTGTTTGCTGTGTTATAGCTGAAAATGCACAAACAAGCAGTGGAGGGAAACAATATTAAAGCACTGTCATAAAAAATCTGCAACGTGCAAACACGATCATGAGATGTTGGTAAAAAGTTAAATAGCGCCTTTCTAATCTCTCCAAGTTCTGCAAAGGTTCCTCACTCACACGCTTTCTATTATAAACTTTAAATTCTTTATAAAACTATTTTATATTGTCACTTATTCACCATTAATCTTACTGGGGCAATGGGGTATCCATTGACAGGAGTGCCCAAGGACACTTTGACTCTTTGCAGGGCCTGGGAATCAAACCCCTGACCCTTTGATTAGAAAATAACCTCCCTACCACTGGGCTAAGCTGCCCCGAACTTCCATCAAAATCCAATTAATGTTATAAGAAGACATCTTAATGTCTCAAAGAGTGTTTAAAACTGTCTCACCTGCTGTGATAGATAGGTTTAAGAATTTCAGGCGATTTAAGGTGTTGCAGTTTGAGCTTTTATGAGGAACTAACACTCAGTCAAGTAAACCAAATCTTTAAATCCATCAGTATAAAACAGGAATTTATAATTGCTCCTGTATATGTTGCATTTTAAGTTTTAAATGCATGTGATGACATGAGTTGTAGACTGCAAACAGAAGGCAGACGTTTTTAGTGTTCCCAACACATAAGCTGCTGTAAGATGTATTATTTACAGTTTACTGAAGTAACTTAACCAGTCAAAGAGATGAGACTGATGTCATTAACACACGGTGCATCATGATGCAATAACAGCATATGTGATCATTTATGGGCTTGGAAGTGATTTTCTAGACAAAATATGGTAACATTTAACTGTCTGAGCAACTTTTCTTTTAGTTGCATTGACAGTGTCAGTTTCAAATTAATCAAATTGATTTTTTAAATTGTATTTTAAAGTATTTAAATGCATATCTGCCTGTTTACCAAATTGGAAATGTGACCATTTTTTTCTAATTGTAGCATTTATCACTCAGATATTTGCAACCAAAAAGGCAGTGGGTAGGTGAAATATTAGCAGCTGCAACTTGTGACTTTGTTTCAAACTCCTGCAACTCCTGTTTCCATAAATGTAAATGTATTTGAAGCTCACCCTCGTTGCTCCAACATTTGATGCAATCCGCTTAACTCTGCAACATCTTTAGGTTAATTTTTAAATCCCATTTACCTCAAAACTTAAGCAGGCGCTCTAAATTTAAGCATCAATCCTGTGAGTGAAACAAAGTCTCCTGATTAATTACAATACATTATGCTGTTATAACAAGTATCTGCATACCTTCAGGGACTGGCTCAGGCATGGTTATTCCTGTGTCTTCTCTGTTCTGCTGGATGACTGGGGGCTTGTGGGGCTTATTCCTTTTATTTCTCCCCTCTCTGTGTTATTCAAAGCTTCTCTGGAACTCAAGTCACCCACACCCTTCAGTGGAGCAGCAAGGAGGTCTGCAGAGACCGGTGACGCCCTTTGAGCAGTTGAAGACGAGACACACTCAGAGTGAGAGCACGAGACAATGAGGTGGTGCTGAAAAGGATCTAATGCTTTTTTTTAATGAGGAATTGAATAGGTGGGCTAAATTAGTGGAGCTTTAAACGCAACTAGAAGAATGCAAGAACCCCGAGAGGACCAGCAGCGGATCCAGTTTTTGACACTTTATCTGGTGTCTTGTGGTGCCAGACTAATTATCTCCCTCCTGGCACTAAGAGGAGGATCAACAAGTCTTTATGGATAAATGTAAAACTTTGACAGACATGTTGCTCAGGCTGAAGGAACAAATCAGACAAAAACACATTAAACGCTTATTTAACTGATGCCTGAGATTGTCTCTGGCTTTGGTTTATTGATGTTATTCTTTGAGATGCATGCTTAAATATCATAAGACGTGCAATGCAGGAGGGAGGGACTTCTGTGTTTGCAAGTTTGATAAATACGGCATTTGCCTTTTAAGTCAGATAAGGATCTTAAGCTGTTTAAAAACTTGGAAACACCACATGAGCATTTAGGAGACTTTTCATTTTACTTTAATGACAATTCCAAAAATGGTCCAAATCCAAAAGAAACTGTCCAGAGGACCTGACTTAACTTTGTTGGAATTCCAAAAACAATGCTAAAATCATAAATTTACGTTAAAATATACATTTAGGACTATATTTTTTGTAACGGGTTGCAGTAAAACGTTGCACTATATATCACTGCCAGTAATTAAAAGACAATAACGGTTGTGTGACGGCATGAAGGAACATCATCATATTGAGGTGCTAAGGATGAATTAACCAGCATTTAAAAATAGAAAATAAAGAATTATAGTGTGGTAGTACAGAAAAACACTTCTGTATCACTTTTACGACAGCGGATGAGTTATAGGGAGTAAAACCTTAAAGACCAGCTTTTGGCAGACTGGGCATGTAACAGTGCACTCATCTTTTTGCAGAGGTGTCAGTCTCCGGCTTCACTGGCCTTCCAACAGTAAACTGTCTTAACCCTTGTATGGTGTTAGTATTTTTGTTACACAGAGCCAGTATTCATGGGTCTGCTAGACCTGGCCCATTTTGATGTTTAAACTCAACATATGCATACAGTTTTACATTAAAATACTTGTAATTGTAAATAATTCATTGAAAATTTAACCATTTAGTTCATTTGACAGAAAACAAGCTGAACACAAACAGTAACCGTGTTGGTCTTTACACTTCATCATCCCATTGCACACATTGTTTTTAACCTCAAAATGTTAAGTCTGGTCCTCTGGACGGGTTAAAAAAAAATTGTAGAAACATTTTGTCTTTCATCCAAAATACTTCTTCAGTCTGAGGAGCTGTATTCAGCTCAGTCTTGTAAATAGGACATTGTCTTTGCATGACAGATTGCACAACATATGAAGGACAGAATTTTATTGCATGTGTGCTGCATGTACTTATTGCACATGATGCATGTATATGTGTTTTTCTGTCTGTCAGATCCACACAGCACTTTTTTTGTTGGTGCAGGCTGCAACCTACAATAAAGCAGAGATCAGGAATATTACATTTGTCTCTCTCCTTCACTTCAACCAAACAAATGGTGAGTGTCATACACATATTGCAACAGTATCTCACTTACTTCAAGTTGTGCAGATGTGGCTCTATAGTTTGGCTGGAAGGGGCAGCAGTATTCTCCTCCTGAAACCTTCTCATAATGGCTACAGAGGCTGGGGTTCTTGGAACACCTTGTCTTCTCTGGACTTGAGGCCTCACCAGTGCTTTTCCCAGTTCTTCGAGAAAGTGGCGTCTCTTCTGGAGCTTCTGTTTCATTCTATGTTCAGTGTCATCCAGATGACAAAGGTGTTGTATGCTGAGATGTCCAGTATGTCAAAGAATGCCACCAGTGGGCATTGTAGGGTTCTTCGTTTGCAGCTGAAGGCAGTCACCGGCTTGTCCATGTTGTCTACGCCTTCTTTTGTGGCATTGTAATGCAGGATGATTTCTGGGTTTTGATGCTCCTGTCCACAGATTATCCCATCCCTGTGCAGTGTAGTCATGAGTACCACATTCTTGCCTTTCTTTGGTACATAGGATACAAGGGATGTGTTAGATGTGTACACAAACTTGGAAGAGTTGACAGCCTGTTCTTTGTATTCAGTTGAGGTAGAAGCTCATGCTTGTTTCTTTGTATCATTCCCATAATGGCCAGTTTGTGTTTTAGGAGCTCCTGTCCCAACTTATGTAAGGTTAAAAAAAAAGTCACATACTGTTGTGGCCACCTAATCCCTGAGTCATGTCCAAGACAACTCTCATTCCTTGATTTTTCTCAGGGGCTCCATAAGATGAAGTGGAATCACTGGCTGCCCAGATCTTTATACCAGATTTAGCAGGTTTTGATGGCATGCACTGGTGAAAGGGGCAGCAGCCCTGAAATGGTATTAGAGGCGCATCAATGGGGACATTAGGCCCAGGGTTGTAAAATACGGAGATGACACACCCACTTGTCCCCCACTGTCCTCATGATAACAAGCTTGTCTCTCTGCCGTCAAGCTGGTCTGTCACCCCTGTCATCAAAGAGTAAAGTCCTGGAAATTGTGTGGAAGTTTTCCAGAGACATTGTTGAATGGAAAAGTTCTCTGCCAGTTTCTGCATGTTACGTGGATTTTGTGGATTCCCCGTTGGACCTCTGGATGGAATCTGGGATGAAAAGTTCAAAAAAAGACTTGATATTCTCTACATGAGAAACTGCCATCCACGCTGACCCTGGTTGCATCTTTATAGTATTGACAACCATGTGCAGTGGCTCATTTCTTGGGCAAGAAGACCATTCAAGTTCCCCATTCTTTGACATCCATATTTCTCTATCCTAGTGGTACTAGCTGCTGATGAGCTGGCCTTGGATTCATCTTCGTTTTGGCAACGGCTGATACTTCAGCTCATCCTCTTATTCAAAATCACTGTCAGTGTCAGACTCTGAATTTTCAGAAATCTGGTCCCCATACTCCAAAAATATTTCCTCTTCGTCATCATCAACGGCTTCTCTCTCTTCCAAAATCATTTGCAAGGCCATTTGAGCAGATATTCTTTTGACCATCTTGATCTGTTGTGAAAAGTAACCACATTAGCAAAGCTATATTTATCATGTCCTGGCATCCAGGTTGTGAGAACCTCAGTCTTGGTTCCCACAAATCAATGAGTAAAATGTGAGGGAATGTTCAAGCTGACAGGTGTTGGTGCTTTGAATTTGTAACAATGCTGAAAACAAATTTCACATACACAAACACCAACAGAAAGCATGTGTGAAAATGTGTTCAGGTACATGTTCTTCACAGAAAATGAGCCAAGGTCAATGAGGTTGACATTGAAAAAATAATAAATGATGTCAATTTTCTTTTGACAAAACCTGAAAATGGGTCCCACAGACCTGAACATCATGCAGGTTTTAAATAGGCTACTAACAGTTGGAACCTGCATCAGCTGGATCCTCTGTGGAGACAAATCTCCTTCTGCAGGGGTTAAAGTGTGAACCAGAGACAGGACTGCTGGTGGACCTCTAGAATGTCCTGTCTTGAGATGAAACAGTTGAAAAGGCTATTAAAAATAGAAAAATGAGTAAAAGCACATTTTTGGGAATGAACAGGGCTTTCTGTTATCTCATCCAGTCTTCATGCCGCTTCAGTTCAAGCTAATTTACCAGTCTGCTCCTGCCACTTTTGAATTTAGCATCCAAGCATGACTAATATTGATCTTTTACCAAGACAGAATGCCCTCATTTGCACAGTGAAGGTAGAGGTGGTAAACAGAGAAGCACACACACACACACACACACGTGTAGAGCGAGTCTTTAAAAATAACCATAGACCAGAAAGAAGCTTGGAGCTCGGCCATAACGTGAGTGAGTTCATACTCAGGGAGAGGATGGTCTGCATGATAATAGGCTTATTTCTCCTCTTTTGAAAAGTATTTTAAATAGGGATGAGATCCAGTTAAATTCACCAACAACTCTTCGAGACATATAGCTTACATATTTCTTTGTAATTAGTTGATTAAAATTCATTGGCAACATGAAAACAACTCCTCCACGGTCAGCATTCAGTGGATCTAACGTGATTAGTCTGTGATTAGTCCAGAATCTGTGCAAGCGCTAATTTAAATAGAATTCCAGTGAAAATTTGCTTTGTGCGGCAAGGATTCTAGCTGATGCAGTATTTTCAAAGGAAGTGCTGAAATTACCATTTCAGGCTGCAAGCAATCAACAGCTGTAAAGCAGACGAAACCCAGGAGAAGACGGGTTGAGGATAATAAGCGGACTGCACCAGGAGCTCGGAGATGCTTCTCATTAGTCTACTTATGTTTTCTTCTCTGTCTTACCATGCATTCTCCTTTTATTTTATATCTTATTAAAGCCAGCTGCACTACAAATTGTTTGTTGTTCTTACTTGAGTCTCCCCCATCCTTTTTTTTATATAATCCTCCACTTTTTCGTCTTTTTCACTCCTGACCGCAACAACAAATATTTAGAAATATATCTGATTAAGTGTGTGGAGGATTTGTTGGTAGTATCTCCCTGGTGGATGTTTGACAGCATTATTGGTGACTTTGTGTCTCTGAACAATAAATTTGAGAAGTTTACCAGCTGGTCTTGAATCCTCTCAACATTCTGATAAGGGGATTCACCTGGAGCAGATTTATAAACGTCTGGGGACTTTTATAGAGAGCAAACGTCAAAGACAGCCACCGATGTAATTTGTAATCTGCTTTCACTGACTGGAAATGAGATCTTGTAATACCTGCTAACAAAATGACCTTGTTTTGGCACATTTTATAAGCTGGATGTTTAAATATTGGGAAACTCATGGCGGGTCGCTTCTTTGACCTTCACACGAATAACTGAAACATGAGGGTCAACATTATTATTTTAAACTTCTGTAAAGGAGACTATACTCTCTAATTAAGACTTTATGTCAAATTAATTTTACACTTATACACTTTTACAAAGCAACCAGAATATTATTTTCACTTCTGCTATCAGATGGCTACAATTAACATCAAT